TTATAATACTTGAATTTACAATGTGATTATTTTGTACAAGTAATATTAACACAAAAAAAATGTATACAAGCACTAAATGACTGTAATTTCCATATCATTAATTCAGAATGCATAGGTGCTCATTTGTTGTATCAGCCAAAAAATAATTTTTTTTTCAATTGCATCATCACTTAAATTAAACTTAAAAATTATTCATAATAAAATAAAATCACTGTTAGTAAAATATTTTTATTTTTGTAGATAAAACATTGAATAAAATTTACTTGAGATTACTTACTCTGAACAAATTAGTTGCTAACCCTAAGTCAAAATTTCTTTTTCCATAAAAAAATTATTTAACTGAGTACAGATATTATATGAACTTTCATCTTCACTGATGAAACATTAATGAAAGAAATGCAGCTAAAATTTCCACAAAATGTGTTAACAGAATATGAAATGTTAATAAAAGAATTGCAGCTAGAATTTCAACAAAATGTGATAACCGAATATGAAACGTTAATGAAAGAAATGCAGCTAGAATTTCCACAAAATGTGTTAACAGAATATGAAACTCTAATGAAAGAAATGCAGCTAGAATTTCCACAAAATGTGTTACCAGAATATGAAATGCTAATGAAAGAAATGCAGCTAGAATTTCCACAAAATGTGTTAACAGAATATGAAAGGTTAATGAAAGAAATCAGCTAGAATTTCCACAAAATGTGTTAACAGAATATGAAAGGTTAATGAAAGAAATCAGCTAGAATTTCCACAAAATGTGTTAACAGAATAAATGTGTCAGACTGTAGCCTTATGAGCATTCTGAAATGCAAAATTATTTAAATTAAGTAAATAGGTTACCTGCTGGTAGTTGTAGAATGACAAAAAAGCTTAAGAGTTTAAATGTAAATTATTTGTTAATGTTTTAATTTTTGAAGCTTAAGTCATCTAATGTTACTCACTTCTTTCTCTTCCAAATATTCATGTTTGAAAATAAATTTTATTTTACCAGACAAATTTTTAAGGATGTTTGATTTATACAAAAATGTCATCTTCAGTAAAATTTACTAATGCAGATTTGGAAAGATAATAATAATAATAATGAGATTAAGATTTCAGCTGTTAATGAAGTCATAATTACGGATGATTTTAATTTAGGCATACAGATTGGAAAATTCTAGTCACACAATGAGAGAGAAAGGTTTTTGGAAACTGTTAAAGATGGCTTTCTTCACCAGTAAGTTCAGGAACAACTTAAAACTTCAAATATAGAAATGATCAAGAGGGTGGAAATTGGGGAACATATAGGTGCAAGTGATCATTACTCTATTAGGTTCGATGTTTTGCCACATATATGGAGATAGGAATAATGATATTTTGGTTACAAATTTCAAAAAAGCTAATTTTGAAGGGATGCGACAAGAAGTATCTGTTGTGAATTGGCAGCTGAGTTATTTAGAGACACTAATAAGATGTGGAAAATGTTTAAAGATAAATTTTTAAATATTCAAGATAAACATATTCCTTATAGAAAGAAAAGGGTAGCTACAAGTGAAAAACCAGGTTAGCTCACAAAGAGTTTAAGAAATAAAATGTAAAGAAAAGTATCATAAATTTAAGAAATGTAAATTGGCCAGAATCACAGGAGATTTTGAAAATTATAGAAGATCAAGAAAGTTGGTGAAACAGAAAATTAGGACATCAAAAAGGATGTATGAGAAAAGTATGGATGAAAATGTAAAGATTAACAGTAGGGATTTCTTTAAATACATTAAGGGTAAACAAAATGTTAGGATTGTGGGAATGACCCTTGAGGGATGATAAAGAAAGACTAGTATCTGATGATTATGAGATGGCTGGGTTATTCAATTTTACTTCTTTCTACATTTTTACTAATGAAGATTTAAGCAGTATTCCACATCTTGAACAGTTGATAAATGGAAACAAGATCAAACAAGATGACTGCATTAATTCTGAGCTGGTTAAGTAAAAAATTGGGAAGTTTACAAAATGATAATGCTCCTGGGCCTGATAATATTTCACCAAGGGTTTTGAAGGAGATTAAGGATTGGATATATGAGCCACTTGCTACTATTTTTTGTCAGTCCTTGTACAGTGGGCAGGTACCAGAGGATTGGAAGTTAGCTAATGTAACTCCTCTTTTCAAGGGAGGTGATAAAAATTGTCGCAGTAGTTATAGACTCATTAGTCTTACATCAGTTGTGGGAAAAGTTTTGGAAAGTCTGTTAGAAGATGTTTTGCAAAGTCATTTAACAAAGTTTAGAATTTTATTGGATAGTCAACATGGTTTCACTAAGGGAAAATCTTACTTTACAAATCCTTTGAAAAGGTTACTGCTTATTTAGATGAGGGTAAGGGTGTAGATTTGGTGTATCTGTATTTTCAGAAAGCATTTGACAAGGTGTCACATAAAAGAATTGTAACAAAAATTATCTATAGGTGTGGATAAGTTAGCAAATTGGATAGAAGAGTGGCTGGATGGTAGAAAGCAAAGGGTTGTTACAAATGGAGTTCAGTCAAACTGAATTGATGTCACAAATTGGGTACCTCAAATCTCAGTCTTAGAATCTTTGCTCGTTTTGATTTATATCAATGACATAGATGAAGGAATAGTCAATAAATTACTTAAATTTGCAGATGATATTAAGGTATTTGCTGTTCCTAGCTGTGAAGAGGATGCTGCTGGTTTACAAAAAGATTTAGATCATTTAGTGAGTTGGGCAAACAAGATTTGTTTTACCAATATATTTGTCAAACTTACCAGAGAAGCCCCCCCTCTCTCCGACTTTCAAGATCGTTTTACTAATAAGTTTGTTAAACTTACCAGGGAAGCCCCCCCCTGACTTTCAAGATTGTTTTATTACTAAGTTTGTTAAACTTAACAGAGAATCCCCCCTCTGACTTTGAACAGTGTTTTACTAATAAGTTTGTCAAACTTACCATAGAAGCCCCTCTCTGACTTTCAAGATTGTTTTACTAATAAGTTTGTCAAACTTACCAGAGAAGCCCCCTCTCTGACTTTCAAGATTGTTTTACTAATAAGTTTGTCAAATTTAACAGACAAGCCACCCTCTCTGACTTTCAAGATTGTTTTGCTAATAAGTTTATCAAACTTACTACAGAAGCCCCTACCCTCTCTCACTTTCAAGATTGTTTTTCTGACCAACTTCACGTGGCTGATGGATTTGTTTAAAACTAAAATGAAGAGCAGGTTCTTCTCTACATAAGCCTTACTAAAGTTATTTTGGTGTGTAGTTTCTTTGTCTTTTATCAATGTTATCCTACTTTGAATGGCTATAGCTTATGTTTATAGCTTACTCAGAAAGCCAGATAAATTAGTTTTGGGTCATTCTGTTCTAGTGATCAATATAT